ATGGCTTTACTGGAACATTCACACTGACGCTGTTTCCGAGGCAATCTTCTTCGATTCCGGTAAAAAGGTGCTAAGCTTTCGTCCGTCATATGACGGACATCATCAGAGCGAGGTAACATCGACACAACAACATTCAAGCTAACGAGTCAAGAAAACTTGAATTTTGTTGTGACGATGTTACCTCGTTCTGATACTGTCCGTCATATGACGGACGAAAGCTTAGCCCCTTTTCACCAGTATCGAAGGAGATTGCCTCGGACACAGTGTCAGCATGAATGTTCCAGTAAAGCAAATCGACAGCTGGTCGAGAGGAATCCGGACCATCGAATCTATTCACCCGACACTTTCACTCGAAATGACGGGGGCAGAGACTGAGTGATATCGTACTTTTGGATTTGATTAGCTTTCGAGACTTACAGTAATTATTGAATTATAACTTATTTGGTCCAAGTCGCTTAAAGTTATTGAAGGATCGAATGGGAAGTGTGGCTCTAAAAATGCCATTGAAGTTCACGTATCCTTGCTTCATAAAACATATTCTCATCCCAACCGGACTGGAATACCGTCTCAACCTCTCATGAGTCTCATCAGCACCACTAACACACTTTGAGATGGCACAAATTAAAAATAATTAGGAATAGACAAGTAGAGGTAGTAATTGAAGAGGAGTTTGTAAATATACCAGAACAGACAACGAAGAGATGACACAATTGTTATTTGAAAAGTTGTAGATTCGTGCCAAAAATTGCGGCCGACGTCGACTACGATGCTAGCAAAAAGTCTGGGAATGTATCAAGTCCATGGTCCGTAGGTAAGAATATTCAAGGTACCTGCTTCAGGGTCGCCCTGACAAAAAGACTCATACTACTTTCATACTCAAAAAGGAGACTCCGGCGACGCCATTTTGGTCTTCAATCGCAAAATCCATGCAATACTCCTTTTTATGATTAAAGTTGGCTACAAGAGGTGGATAGGACCGTAACCAGGCTCAGGAGTTGGTGCACTATTCTCAACGAATGGTTTCTTGATCTGGCTAGGACTGTTATAGTTCGACTGAGTTAATAGAACAGTGAAGTGAGAACTTCTACGCAATCTTAATTCAGTCATTGGTCAATGGATTAGACGATATTACCTATTTTTGGTGTGAATTGGCTTCGAGACTCAAATCGGAAGGCCTGATGGTTGAATAATAATTCAATAAAGTTGTGAGGTCCATTCCATATAAAGCAGCCTGGCTAGTCTCGTAATCATCTTTATCGAAATAAGTTTTAATCGACTCTATTCAGTAGAAGGCTGGTCAACAGAATTGCTTTCACTCGGCACCTTGACGAACTGTACCTGAGTGCTAGGAAGCCACTTTTCTCTGATGATGCTGACTACTATACCGGCAAAACTGTTGGGAATAAACTAAATCAACGGTCCGACGTTGAAAATTATCCTGAATACTTGAAAAGATACTCCCGGACAGGGTTAGACCTTCGAAGTTGCCCTGAACACCCGATCAAGAAGCGAAAATGGGGTCAAACCCCTTTAAACCACCGCAAGAGGCTCTTTGAAATCTTCTTACTCGGGTTCATCTCCGTGTCCGTTGTGCAGTTCAAGCGCGACTGTTTAGCGCATGGTTCCTCTTGCGCCTCCTGCTCCTGCTCTTCTTCCTCTTCCTCTTCCACGAGCTCTTCTTCCTCCAGTGCCGGGGAACGCAAGGACGCGGAGGCCTCAGTCACAGCAACGCCTGGCCATTTGGCTCGACCAACCGAGGCGTTGGTGTCCGGCTGGGACGACCGAAGAGCTGAGCAAAGTGGGATCTGTTGATGGCAGAGAGGGCTCGGAGTCTGTTGGAGTTCGGGAGGCTGAGGTTGGTGCTTTTGATGCTGCTGCTGTTGACGGTGTTGTTCGAGACTGTAAGCGGAGTAGTGCGGCGGAGGATAGGAGAGTCGCTGGTACAGCTGGTGGAGATCGGAAAGAGGCGGATTCAGGTAGGGCTGGTGGTGGAAAGGCTGTCTTTTTTGCTGTTGTTGTTGTTGTTGTTGTTGTTGATAATTGTTGTGCTGATGCAGCTGCATGTGTTGTGTCTGCATTTTGGCCATTGCCGCGGCAAACAGGTGAAGGAACGAGTTTGTCTGTCCGCCGGCAGTACCGACGAGGGCGGCTGAGGCTGGGCTGCTGGGCGAGCTGACCGTGGCCGCGGCGGCTGGGGCGGTTGGTCCGAGTCCCGTCGCACCGGTCGAGTGGTTGGCGACCGAGCCCGAGACGGAGCCGGGCGGGTGGAGGGCGGTCGTGACGGGGCCTGGCAGCAGAGGCAGGCCGAGGAGTGGAAAAGCGAGGGAAAGAGCCGACGGCGCTTCGACGGGACTCGAACGAGGCAGCGGGTCTGGCGGCAAGAGTCCGCCGATCGAGTTGGCTGGACTGTGCGACTCGCAGACCGACAGGCCTCTGGCGCCCGGCCACGGCGCGGCAGAAGGGCCGGATGGCTCTGCCGGGCTCGACTGGGCCTCGGGGCCGCGGGACAGCAGAAGCCATTTCGGCGGCTTCGCCTCGTCCGTGGAGGGAGCAGAACAGCCGACGCTTAGTCCAAGCCCGGGTCCAGATCCGGATCCGGATCCAGGCAGCAGGGCTCTGGTGAGTGCCCGCAACTGTTCGAGGTCCACGCCAGCGGGTCCGAAACGCGCCAGCCGCTTTACTAACGCCTC